ACTAGCAAACTGAACTCAACAGCACATTAAAAGGATCATACACCATGACCAAGTGGAATTTACCCTACGATGCAAGGATGGTTCAATACATGTAAATTAATAAATGTGATAAAATCACATTAATAGAATGAAAGATAAAACTCTTAAGATCATCTCAATAGATGCAGAAAAAGCATTTGACGAAATTCAACATACTTTCATGATATTAACATATTGGCTGTAGAAGGAATGTACCACAACATAATAAAGGCCATATATGACAAGCCCACAGCTGACATCATACTCAACAGTGAAAGTTGAAAGCTTTTCTTCTAAGATCAGGAACAAGACAAGGGAGCCCACTCTCACCAATCCTCTTCAAGATAGTACTGAATATCCTAGCCAGAGTAATTAGGCAAGCAAAGGAAATCAAATTCATCCAAATCAAAAAGGAAGAAGTAAAAGTGTCTCTGTTTGTGTATGATATGACCTTATATATAGAAAATCCCAAAGACTCTATAAAAAAACTGACAATTAATAAACAAATTCAGTAAAGTTACAGGTTACAAAATCAACATACAGAAATCAGCTGTGTTTCTAAACACTACCAATGAAACATCTGAAAAAGAAATAAAGAAAACACGGGGGCGGCCCAGTGGCTGAGTGGTTAAGTTTGCACGCTCTGCTATGGCGGCCCAGGGTTTCGCGGGTTCGGATCAAGGGTGTGGACATGGCACCGCTCATCAAGCCATGCTGAGGTGGCGTCCAACATAGCACAACAAGAGGCACTCACAACTAGAATATACAGCTATGTAGTGGGGGGCTTTGGGGAGAAGAAGAAGGAAAAAAATTAAAAAATTAAAAGAAAAAGAAATAGAGAAAACAATTCCCTTCACAGTAGCATCAAAAACAATAAAACACTTTGGAATAAATTTAGCCAAGGAAGTGAAAGATCTGAAAATTATAAGATATTGATGAAAGAAATTGAGGAAGACAGAAATAAATGGAAAGATACTCTGTACTCATGACTTTGAATAATTAATATTGTTAAAACGTCCATATTATCAAAGCCATCTATAGATTCAATGCAATTCCTATCAAAATTCCAATGGCATTTTTCACAGAAATAGAAAAAAAAATCTTAAAATTTGTATGGAATCACTAAAGACCCTTAATAGCCAAAGAACCTTGAGAAAGAAGAACGAAGCTAGGGGCATGACATTTCCTGATTTCAAACTATATTACAAAGCTGTAGTAATCAAAACAGTATGGTGCTGGCATAAAAACAGACACATAGTCCAATAGAATAGAATCAAGAGCCCAGAGATAAACCCACGCTTAGTTAGTATTTGACAAGTGAGCCAAGAATACTCAATAAGAAAAAAATAGTCTCTTCAAAAAATGGTGCTGGGAAAACTAGATATTAATGTGTAAAAGAATGAAATTGGACCCCTATATAAAGCCACTTACAAAAATTAGCTCAAAATGTATTAGACTTAAATGTAAGACCTGAAACCGTAAAGTCGTAGAAGAAAGCATAAAGATAAGGCTCCTTGACATTGGTTTGGCAGTGAATTTTTGGACGTGACACCAAAAGCACAAGCAACAAAAGCAAAAATAAATAAGTGGGACTACCTCAAATTAAAAAGTTTCTGCACAGTAAAAGAAAAAATCAACAAAATGAAAAGGCAACCCATGGAATGACAGAAAAATATTTGTAAGTCATCCATTTAATAAGGGGTTAATATCAAAAATATGTAAGGAACTCATACAATTTAATAGCAGAAAAACAAACAATTCAATTAAAAAGTGGGTAGAGGACCTGGAGAGATATTTTTCCAAAGACATACAAATGGCCAACTGTAAATGAAAAGGTGGTCAACGTCACTAATCATGAGAGAAATGAAAATTAAAACCACAATGACATGGTACCTCACACCTCTTAGAAAGGCTATTATCAAAAAGACAAGAGATAAGCATTGGTAAGTATGTAGAGAAAAGGGAGCCCTTGTACAATATTGGTGGAATATAAATTGGTGCAGCCACTACGGAAAGTAGTATGGAGGTTCCTCAAAAAATTAAAAACAGAGCTACCAGATGACCCAGCAATCCCCCTTTTGGGTATATATCAGAAGGAAATTGTCGCTGTCTTGAAGATATATCTGCACCTCCATGTTCATTGAAGCATTATTCACAATAGCCAAGACATGTAAACAATCTAAGAGTCCATGGACAGATGAATGGATAGAGAAAATGTGGTACATCAATACGATGGAATATTATTCAGTTATAAAAAACAAGGAAATCTTGCCTTTTGCAACGACGTGTTTCTTGTTTGTTACTTAATTCTTCACCAGAGACTCCAGTCACGCTTCAAAAAGCTTAAAAGTGAATAATTCATTCGGAGAGTTTAAGAAATGCCATTTCAGTATGATAAATAAAAATTCAGCAATTGGTCAAATCGTCTATTTGACTGAAAACATAAGAAAAAGCCACAGGCACAATTCCTGGCTTTATGTCTGTAGACGGTCATCCTTCACTTAATGTACAATCACTATCATTTTGGTATTTTAAAAAGAATTCATTTATTCAACAACCATTTGGTTGGTGACTACTGCAGAGCAGACATCCTGCTAGTGCCAGGGACCCAGAGAGGACTCGGGCAAGTTCCCTCATCTCAAGGAGGCTGCCACCTAGTGGGAGGGGCCGAAATACAATTGAGTAGGGGAATAAAATGAGTTGAGTGATAGAACAGTGGTGGTGACAAAGTTCCAAGGGAGCAGGGAAGATAGCACAACTTAATTTTATCTAGAGAATTCAGAAAAACTGTAGGAAGAGGAGAAGTTTATAAGTAATTATGTGTGGAGCTGGGATGGGTATTCCAAGTAAAAGGAAGCAACGTGTGAGGAGTATAAAAGAGGATGGCACGTTTAGCTGGTGGCAGACACGTTTGTTCAGTCTAGAGGTTTGGGAGCATATGAGGGAGTGATGGAAGGCGAATCTGAAAGGAAAAGCAGTGTTAGATCTTGAATGACTCTGCACACGACAATGAGAGATTTGAAATGAATCCTGTAGGCAATGGGAATTAGCACAGAGGTTTTCAGTAGGAAAATGGCATCATTAGATTAAGGCTTTGGAATGAATACTCTGGCAGTGCTGTGGAGAATAGACTGGAAAGGGAGGAGACCCAGGACTGGGAAGCTAGTTGGTCTACTGCAATGGTCCTAACAAGGGATGATGAGGGCCTGCCTTGAGCAGTGTGGAAAGAGAGGAGGAGACATAGTGAAGAGCTGTTTGGAAGGGAGACTTAGCGCGGCTTGGTGGAGAATGACATCTGGGTGGAGTGCAGCGAGTCTAAGACGACCTCCAGGTATCCGTATTTGGAAACTGGGTGGAAAATGGCACGTTACTTCAAATCAAGGAGTAATAGTAATAGGAGGAGAAGCATTTTGAGTAGAAAGATGTGATCAGAGTTTAGGAACTGATGGTGTAGCCAGGTGGAGATAACTAAAAAGGTGTTCTGAAGTTCAGGGTGAAGTCTGGCTGGAAAATTAAATGCCGTTAATGAAAAATCTCTTAGAGGTAGGGCCAGCTGGTGGCACAGCGGTTAAGTGTGCACATTCTGCTTCGGCAGCCCAGTGTTCCCTGGTTCGATTCCCGGTGTGGACATGGCACTGCTTGACAAGCCATGCTGTGGTAGGCGTCCCACATATAAAGTAGAGGAAGATGGGCACGGATGTTAGCTCAGGGCCGGTCTTCCTCACCAAAAAGAGGAGGATTGGCAACAGATGTTAGCTCAGGGCTGATCTTCCTCAAAAAAAAAAAAAATCTCTTAGAGGTTAACCTGTAATTTGTATTGAAATATAGGACTTTATTTTCATATCCCTAATAGTAATGGCACACCTTTTCGCTACACACACAATTAATAAATACATTTTATAAGTGCCTATGTAAAACAAAATAAGACAAAAGAGCCCAACACAACAAATTGAGTGCCAGAAAAGTTGCAATGCAACAAAAACACTCAAATTGAAACCCTGCTGGAGGCAGTGCAAATTGAAACTGCATTTTGGGAGGATTGTATCTCACAATATGCAGCAAGAGCTGCAAAGATGATCATGTGATTTTGCCTAGTAATCCTACTCCTGGTTATCAAAGGGAAATAATTCAGGATGTATTCGTGAAAAATTACCTTATAGATGTGATCTATACAACTAGTTATAAGAGAATGGTTCAACGTGTGTGTATATGTTTACTCGGAGTAGAAACATAAAGACTATGAAGAAACATGGGAAGATATTTACATTGATGTTAAAATAGTTATAATTGTCACAATTATGCAAACATATGTATACCAACACAGGCTCACTGGAAAAACATTAAAAATGAAAACTGTCAGAATGGTAAGATTGTAGACAATTTTCTCTTTTTTTCCCAAAATAAAGTTCACGTAAGGACAACTTTTCAAAAGCTTTTTAAAAGGTATATGTTGAGTTGCAATAAAGCAAACAAGTGCATATAGACGTGCTTCAAACACTCTTATTTAAATGTTTCTTAAGTACCTGGGGAGGGCGCTGTAAAGAAATGAGGGTCACTTGAGAGAGGGCAGAGGAGAGAAATGAGGAGAAAAGGAAGGCGAAGGAATGAGCAGCTCAGCGGGGCAGCAGCAGCCCTTTGCCCCCCAAGGGAGTCACTAGGGCTGGCATCAGGGGCTCAGGATCCATGGTGGCAGAAGCCTCAGGTGACACGACAGCAGATGTTACACTGGGTAGGTGGGAGAGCAGGACCACAGGGACCACCCACCTCATCCTCGTGCTGGGCCATGACACTGACATGGCCTTGGGGAATGTCTGCAGTGGAAGATTTAAATTTAGACTGATGGCAGAAGATGAGACAACCACATTTCTTTATGCATACATTTGGGTTCATTGACACGTTAACCACAGGAGAAGGGGAAAGGGCCACAAGGTGTGGGGTGAGTACGAGTGGAGGCAAAGGAACTTTTTTTCAAAGAAAAAAAGCACCAGTCTTGCAAAGACTTTCCGTGATTCCACACCCGCCTCGAAAGCCCCCTCTTACCACAGGAAGTGCGCTGACCATTAGAGGGATAAAAGAGGCTCGAGAGCAGCATTCTTCATTCTCTGCCTGCACAGCTCACAGGACCTCAGCCATGCGACCTCTCCTCCTGGCCTTGCTCGGGATCTGCTGTCTCACGGCGCAGGTTGTGGAAGGTAAGTCGAAAGGCGGCTTATGAGATAAGGAACAGATACGCAGGCAGGTGGGCATACGTTTTGGTTTTGACTGGAGTAAACTGCTTCCCCAAGGTAAGCCTCAGACTTGCCCTATGCAAAATGGGAGTGATAATTTTGACTCTAGAGGACCTTGTAAATTCTGAAGATAGAACCTGGTTAGAATCTGGACGGGTACTTTTCGTAACTGAGAGATTTTGGATAAAATTCTTAACCTCTCTCGGCCTACACTTACTTATCTATAAGTTGAATATAATAACAGATACTCTTACCTGGGATTAAAATGAAATAAATCTTATGATCACTTATTAGATTTCCTCACAAGTAGTCCTTTCTTGATTAATGTTAGCTGTAGAATGGTGGTGATGATTATATATGCCTTTGTAGCTTTTGGCTATTTAGTATGGATCTTGATAAATTCTCAAAAATGTTGAGAGTTCAGTCACAATGTGGGAGTGTATGTTCTGAAGCAAATCAATGTTTTCTATTTAAAAAAATGACTGGAAGCTCAGACCTTCATACTCAGGAAATCAGTATAATCTCTAAGTAGATAGGAGACTATTCTTACTGCTCTGAGAGTTGCTCCTATTTATGATAAACTTCTTGAGTTTATAAGAGACGATATGATAAAGCTAACAAATAGATCAAGGGCTTAAACACAACCAAATAAGCCTGCAAGAACACCAGACGAGACTTAGATGTCCTGAGCCAGACCTGAGCGTTCTACACATGTTTCTTAAACGATCATCTTTTTCCAATTGGTTGGAGTGTATTTCTCCTTGTGGCTCTGGAAAGAAGAGAGAATATCCTTTGGGTATAATTAATGTTTCAGTTAACTCTCCTTTCAACTTCTTGATTTGTAGACTTGTTCCTTACACTAGAATATCTGAATTCAGTCATGGATCCCTAAGGCTGTCCATGAATAGCGGTGGCAAACTCTGGAACTCCCTGAAATTGTGCAAAAAATAAAAAATATTGATGAAACAAAAAAGTTTGAGACTACTAAATTAGGCCAAATACTGCAACATGGCTGGCATGTTGCCGAGACGCTAGGTGTGCCCTACCTGGGTAGGGAAAGGACGCTCTGTTGGAGGCTGAGGAAGCCTGCAATTGCTTGGCTCAGACTCCCAGGTTTTCTAACTTGAATGACTTCTCCAGGGTCCACTGGGGCTTAGCTTCTTATGTACAGCAGTGGGACAAAGCAATCTCTGGTTTGACTCAACTCTGCAACTTGAGCGAAGGTGGTGTCATCATAACACAGACACACAAATGTTGCTGAGAATAAGGAGGTTTTGAGGTTTAAAGTCCGGCAGGATTCTCTGGATCTTGGGAGTCTGTGCTAGATACTTCACAGAGAGAGACATTATTTCTTAAGAAGTGAGAGAAATAGAGAAAACAAAGCAGATCTCCCTCTTTTGCTGGGTTCAGAGATGATTCAACATTCAAAATAAATTGGCAAAGATACAGGGTAAAGAATGTGTAGACTGGGTACTGAGAACGAGAAAGGATTGGTGAAGAAAGGCAATGTTAGGGAGCACCTTTTGTTTAGTTTCATGTTTTAAAAAAAGCCTTCTGGTATCAGCCACACTACAGATCAAACTTGATCATCATCAGCTGGTACTTTAGATGCTTTTTCACTGAATATTTCTCTGGGAAGCAAATACCAGTCTCTTCAGCTTAGGAGAAAATCAGCACTTAGAAACCTTGATTAGATTTTACAAAACCCTTAATATTGTTAACTCTCCTCTTAAGTTATTTTCCTTTCTCCAGTGTAAGATGTTCTCTGGACTATAACGTTTAATTCTGCTTGCGCCATTTGTATTGAGGATGATTACTTTGTGAACGGCTTCCTTTATATCTCTCACATTTTACCATTTAAAATGAGAATATCTTTATTTATTTGGTCAAAAACAAGCTGCCTCCTCCAGGCTTAATGTTGCCTTTTCCAAATTACTCTATATGACATCATTCTTTGTTATTTTATTTATAGCACTGCAACATTTATACTATTTGAAGTTATATTTTATTTTTGTTTGCTTGGTTTTCTTCACCAGGTGTGGGGAGTGAAGTCCTGGAAAAGAGCATATGTGTGAGTCTAACGACCCGGCGACTGCCAGTTAAAAACATCAAGACCTACACCATCAAGGAGGGCTCCATGAGAGCAATCATGTGAGTTTGTCTCCCCAAAGCTGGGCTCAATGGAACACAGTGTACAGAAATGCTGCCCTCCTCAGGAAAAATAAGTCAGTGTGGAGGAAGGCCTCAACTTAGCCAACAGCTCCTTTGTTTTTCCATAGTAACCATGTCTTTATGTAGCACAAAATAATGATTATCACAAAAATTTCACAACCAAATAGAGCATCATCCTCCTTTGTGATTTAGCTTAGCAGAAGAATCTGACTGGGAACCCGATGAGTACTGTGCACAGTTCTGAGGGTTAGGGTTACAGATGGCTGGTTCAGATCAGGATTTGACCATATAGCTACACAGGTGCTTTGCTCCCCTCCTTCCCTACCCTATGGTGTGTTGGAGTAGAGTGCCATGTTTTACCAGTTGCCCTATCTCAAGGAAATGTGTCAAAAACTAGCCTACATGGTACCACTCTCTTTGCAGGATCACATTCTCAGAATAGCAGCTCTTCTCAACACACAAGTGCAGCTTTGTCCAAAGAAATGAAGAGAAATCACCTTTTGTCCAGAAAATAAGATGATTGTGTTTAGATATTTGAAAAGGAGGATGTGTAATTATTGGACTAGATGACCTCAGATGTCCAGTTTAGTTACAATATTTTGTAGCACTGATGAGAAAAGGCGCCTGTGAATTAAGGTGAACGAAGATGCTAGGTGTAACCTGGAGACACTTCTCCTTCATGTTAAAAAAGATCGTAGAAGAAAGATTCTCATTTTTGGTCTTGTGATTCTGAAAGACTATTTTGTCCGGTAATTTCTGCACAAGATCTTTTGTATTTGATCTGATCTTAACTCCTGGTTCCAAACCTTTGAGGATGTGACTAACTTTGCCTATCTTTTCCTTGGATTGCAGATTTATTACCAAACGGGGCCTTAAAGTCTGTGCTGACCCACAAGTTGAGTGGGTGAAAAAAGCAGTCGAAAGTGTGGACAAGACCACCAGAAGAAGAGTGATCCAGACCCAGCCTACAGGACCCCAACAAACCACCAAGACAGCTACGACCCTGACGACATAGTGGACTTCCAGCACCTTGTCCCCCTCACTAGCCAGCTAGCTCATTTCCCTTTACAAACTCATGGACTAATTAGATTATATTTACCTTTTACGAAAGCGCTGCATGAGTCAAATTATTTTCTTATGTTTTTATTTTTCATGTCTTTCATATTCATTTAGATGTTCTAATTAATAAATATTTATTATTAAGAATAGTCCAAAAGACTATTCACTATGTTTTGGGAAAAGTAATATATCATTTATGTTCTATTTTTGTTCTAACTATACCTCCCTTTGATGGTATCCATGATGGGAGAGATTTTGGCCAGTGTTTATCAGAGAGGAAAGCTATATTCATCATTCTTAGGTTCCAGCTTGAAGTGGTTCTCTACACATGAGTCACAAGTGACAACTGTGGCAATGGCAACAATTCAAGATTTCTTTCAACCTGTCTTTATAATGGAGCTCTGTTTATGGAATAAGGGAGAAAATAATCCAACTGTCACTGGGTTCCCATTCTGAGGGTCGGCTACTCAAAGAGTGATTTCACTCAAGTTTGATCTCTAGGAAATTCTCTCACCTCTCTGTGTTTCATTTGATCTCCTGTGAAAGGGAAAAAAGACAGGGCTTGCCAGTTCTTTCATTTGTCAAGGTAGCAAAGGTTAGACTTCTGGGGAAAAGATACTTTATGCAAATAAAAGTCAATGCTCTTTGAATTGGACAATGATCTCACTGCCTTTCTGTGATTTCTGTAATTGTCACTACTCCTGTTATCATACGAGTCATGCTTCTTTGCCAGTAAGCTTTTAATACCCCAAACACTGTCACCTGGAACATTTCTTGAATGTGATCATAATTTGCAGTCAAGTTTTAATAAAATGTTCATCTGGTCACTCTACCTCAGACTCAGGCCTGCTTATATTCCCATTAGATTGCTGATTTGGTTCATGTTCATGGCTCTGCTCTCCAAGTAGCCGATGATGTACACACCAATTCCACGTGACTCCACATTGTAAGAACTGAGCGTGCCTTGATGGTTTCAAGGGAAGAGAAAGTACTAACTGTAGTCTAGTCCTGAGGGGACGCTCCGCGGTATCAAACACTTTCAGAGGGTAACTGAGGGCAGCTTGTTGGAATCGCCTCACTTACTTCTAGTGACCCAGAGTGGAAACCATTAAAAGGCTGCCTCTTGGCAAAAGTTGGGGTCATCTATCCTTTCTCTTTGCTATTTGCCCACAACAATTTTCAAAGCTGGTCTTAAAGAAAACAAACACTAAGAGTAAAACACTTGCCTTTTGAGGGGTGAAGCATAGCAAAGTCACAGAAGACGAAAGGAATGGTTTCCTGGCTGAGCTGCATCTTTGTGTTTCCCAAGTGTCTCCCAGACCCTAGAGGTTTTCATGAGATAATAATAATATGACATGTGGAAGAATGTGGGTTCGCACATCTTGTTAGTTGATCACACTCTCTAAGGTGGTGCCATGTGATGCCAAGGGGTTTCAACCAGATCCTATACATGACTCTTAGCTAATTGACTGGAGGTTTTGAATTCATTTAAGTAGGACCTGAGTCTACTAACCGTGCACCTAGGGCTTATTGGATTTCAATTCAAACCAGAGAAATAATCTACAAAAAGATATCTCAAAATATTAAATATTTTTAAGTGGCTGCAACCCCTCCTTTGTGTTCTTATGACTCTTATACTTACCTTTAACCTAAAACTTACCAATTTGTATTGAAATTACTCATTTGCCTGTCTGAGCTCCACCCGCCCTGCAATTTGACTAGAGCTCCTTGTGTGTGTTATTCACACCGGGTCACCGGTGCCTAGCATAGAACTGTGGGGGGTCAATTAATATTTGTTGGATGAAAGGGAAGAAGAACTTATGTTACATTATATTCTTCATTCTACTCTTTTATATTTATAAAGTTATATATAACATAAAAGCAACTTTATTAAAAGCGGGTTCAATTCAGCAAGCATTTTTGAGTACTTTATGTAGGACAAGACTGTGTTAAGCTTAGGATATGCCAAGATAAGTAAAACCCCATTTCTGCTCTCCAGGAACCCACTGTCTAGGACATGAGATTATGTTGGAAACAAGCCAGGTGCAGCACAGGATTTGAAGCAGTAAATAATATAAGCGTGTTCAAGAAACAGAAATAACATGAAGTGAATGATTACCTATCTTGGAAATGTTCTCTCAAAGGACTTCTGACTTTATATATAATTATGAATTATTATTATTAATAAGAAATGCCTAGAAGATGCACCCTTAGTGGATTTGAAGAAGGATGTTGTCACCTTTTTCTCTCTTGACTGAAAAATTCCTCCACTGTGATTATAATATTTGTGTAGTATTTTATTCTTTTTTTAGATATTTGATGTTACGATACAGTGAGTCTAAAACTGTCACTATAATTTAATTGGTGAGAAGATTGAACCACAAAGAGGTGGATTGTGTAGGTCAAGGGCAGATGGTTATTGAGAAGCTGAGCCTGAGCTCAGACGTGGACTTTCTGTGTATCCCAAGCTCACGAAGGACAGTGAGAGTGGAGGAGTATTCCTACAGTGGGTGTCCTCTGAGCACGGCCACATCATCTCATGAGACTCAGAATTTTCAAGATAAATTAGGAGTATCTGAAGGCTATAACAAGTACTTCTCATTTGACTTTTTCCACGCAATTATTTTTTAAATGTTTTTATTTTATCAAAGTAATACATGAACATGGTCAAGAATTCAAATATCACAAAAGAGCTACTAATGAAAATTAATAATACTCCACCCTAGTCTTTCCCTTTCTAATCTCCTTCCTCACAGACACGTGCTTTTAACTCTTTTAGCTGGTGATTCTTCTGATAGTCACCTTCAAATCCCCAGTATTCATGCATCACTATTTCCTGGGTCACCAATTTTGGACCTTATCTGTGGCTGCCTCTATGATGCACGAAGATTTAGCTCACTTAGCCCCAACTTCCTTCTATCTTCTGTTTTATAATTATGTCGATATTTTCAGTTGGTTATGTTTATAACTTTATGTAATATACCTATCATGTGTCTCTTGTTCTGTCAATGACGGACAGTACTTCTTGACTTTCCAATAGCCTTTACTATGTAACGAATGCTATGTTACTGCTTTGTAAACATTAAGACATTTAATCACATAACAGGCCTCAATTAAAGACTGAACAACTAAGATATAAAAAGGCTATTGGTTCATGAGGGATAGAGTTCAGATTTGAACCCATGGAAGCATGGCTCCATGGCTGTCAACAACTGTCACGCTGCCTTCCTCTCTTTGTATGTGATGAACCTATGAAGACACTACTCAGGCCTGCGTAATATCTTCATCTAACCAACTTAATTAACTAATTAGTTAACTAACTAATTATTAGTTCATTCATTGAGTAAATATATATTGAGGGTCTACTGGTGCCAGGAGCTGAAAGTACAGCGGTGAGCAGAACAAGCTCCCTGCTTTCGTGGAGCTTACGTTCTGGTAAAATGTGCCTTCTATACCCTTCCTCAGCATTCTTTTATCTACTCACTCAACCCACAGCTGATCATTGCGTGCCTAATGGAGTGCAGATGCATCTCTGGGCACTGGAATGCAGTGGTGAAACCAGACACAGTCCTTCCCTTCAGAGAGCTTACACAGCAAGCAGACAATTTCCACACAGTGTCACCTGCGCGATGAGGGGAAAGCAGACGGTATGTGGTTTGGATGTGCAGGAGCAAACCTGCCCAGGTGTTAGCATGTAGAGAGGGTCAGGACAGGCTTCCCCTTGAAAACAGCCTCTGACCTGACACCTAAGGATGAGTCTGAGTTATCCAGGGGGTTTCAGTGCCTTCCAAGCAAAGGGAACAAGCAGCACATGAAAAGGCCTGCAGGCGAGAGAAATCTGGATGCATTAAGGAAATGCAAGTCATTTAATACGACTGAGGGACAAGGCAAAGGTTAGACACAAAGGGAGTGTGGGCACAAGGTGAGGTTAGAGAGTAGGAGGAGATATCACCAAGGGCTTCGTCTGCTAGAACAAGGAGTGCGTGCTTCATTTTAAAGGGTGCGGGAAATGACACTGGCTGTCAGGTGGAATATGGAGTGCGGAGAATAAGATGGGAGCTAGACGTCAATTGCGAGGTGGCTCTGGACCTGGTGACTTTTGAGCTTGGCCTGGCACAGTGTGACACATTTTCCCTTTTCCTCATGGGCCTTTTCTGCTTAGCCAGGGAGCACCTTAGTGATGAGTGACTGTGTGACTCGTGGTGGGGCTCAGCTGGACATGTCAACTGCCTCAGGCGGTGACTCCATTCATGGCTGTGGGGAGCCAGGGCTGGGATGGGAAAAACCACGTTTATGGAAATGGGCTGATTATTTGCATTTTTTACCGGCTAAGCTAAGATTGGATCTGTGGGACCAAGATTGGAGCCAACCACCAAGAGGAAGGAGGAGACAGGGTTGAGAAGCAAGAAACTTGATCTTGGTGGGGTTTTAGATGTCCACAGACAGAGCCCCTCCTGATTTATTCAGTTTCCTGCATGTTTGTTGAGCACCTGCAGAGTACAAGGGACATAGAATCTAGTCTGCTGTCACTAAGCCCACTATCTCGTGGGGAGAAAGTGCTGTCACCAAAGCCATTCCCATTTGGATGTTCCAAACAGCACAGCTCAGGGCTTGCCTCCTTTCAGAGACCTTTCTGATGTCCCCAGCCCAGTTGACGCCCCTCTCATGTGCCCACTCAGCCCCTGGGCTTACCATAGAGGTATTATTGCTCATATCACCCTGAAATACCAATGTATTTTTCTTTATTTTCTGTCTTGGTAAGTTGGGGTAGAGACTGAAGTTGGTCTCTCTGTACCTAGTACCTGGCATAGTGCCTGGGATATCATAGGCCTCCAATAACTTTTTGTGGAAAATTTACTACATTATCTGTATCTCTATCAGTTATCGTGAAAAGCCCTAGGGATGCTGAGGAGAGAATATTTAAATCTGCCCTGGGAAAGAGGAGAAGCTCTGTAAAAGAGGTGACATAAAAATTGTGCCTTTAAAGCTGAGAAGGAGCCTGCCAGGACGAGAAGCTAGCAGCTGGCGCTCCTGCCAGAGGGAACTGCATGGATGAGAGCACAGTGGCAGGAAAACCAAGGCGTGTTTAGGGAAACTGCCCATTTCTGGGGTGGCTGGGTTATAGAGCACAGGGAACACAGAGGAAAGGAAGCTGAGGCTGGACTGGGAAGGCCATGAGTGCCATGCGGGAGAGAATTTTAAACAGAGGGTTCCAGGGAGCAACATGGTCAGGTCAGAGGTTTAGGATCATAACTGGAGGAGTGCAGAAAATGGTTGAGGTTGGAGGGGAACAGTGAGGTGACTATGGGGTCAGGCTGGAGGGGATGGTGGCCTGAAATGGGTAGTGGCAGTGAGAAGAGGAGTGAAGGAGCCCAAGACAGAATTGAAATGGCTTGGTTATCAACTGGATGCGGGCAATGAACTGGCTGGAAGAATTGAGGCTGCTCTGAGGTTTCCTGCTTGAGTGACCAGTTAAGAAATAGGACACCTGACTGGTAAGATTTTAGTCTAATTTCTGGGGTAGTTACTAATAGACTCTGAAGAAAAGATCACCAAAGAGAAGGAGATGAGGCGACAGAAGAGGCCTGGAAAAGTAAAAAACTCATTATCAGCCTTTATACTTCGCTAACTCAGACAAAAGCCCAAACTACATTTTTATTCTCTTTTGACAGACAATCTTCTTACAGGGGTGGGGTGAAAATAAGGCTGGATATCTGCGAAACTCTTTACGCCCCTTGGGGAAAAAAGAGTACATATAAATGGAATACAGTATCCACTGGGTGAGTCACCAGTGTTATTTTAAGAGGGATTTGTCACACAGCAGTGGGAGGC